CTGAGGTTCTAGTCGTTGACCCAGGACAAGGTCGAGTACGCCTGGCGCCCCTTGCCCCTCTCTTTCCGTTTCGGATCTGCGACCAGGAGCTTGGCCGTCCTTGCCCGGCCCTCCGCCACTTTTGTGCTCCAGGTAGACACCGCAGGGGCGGGGGCTGGGGCCACGAGACTCCCGCGCTCGGGGAGTGGCCCTCATCCAGGGGTGGGGTGGGGGGAATCAGAACCCGGAGTGCACGGGGGCTCCTGCCCAGGACCGCAGGGAAGGAGCTTGCGCCTAAATCGCCCCCTCCCCGCGCCCGGGGATCGATCTCCCCCCTCCCCCCCGCCTCTCGCCCGCGAGCTGCTGGGGGCGGCGGGGAGGCGGGGCTCGAGCTGGGGACGCGGAGGAGGGGCGAGAGGAGGGTGTCTGCCTGCCGTTCCGGGTCCCCTCCATGGCCCCCCATATTAGACCCCTCCTTTCTCGCTGCTGCGTGCGCGTCTCTCGCGGACCCCGGCTGGGCTGGGGGTGGAGCCCGCTTCACAGGTGCGGGCCGAGGGCCTGGGGTGTCGAGGTGCGCGTAGGCCGAGGCGGTGGCGCTGGTAGATCCCGAGCTAGGCGGGCGCCCCTCACCCCCCACACCCCCACAGCTGGAAGTTAAGAGCAGCGGCGCGGACCTCAGCCCAGAGTGCGAGTGCGTGCGCAGCGCGCGGGAATAGTCTCTTCTCTCGGCCTCTCTCCCTCTTCCTCCTTCCTCCCCAGGACCCTGGACCTCGAGGGCCCCCCCGGATCGCCCCAGTGTCCCGCACTGCTTATGCGTGGGTGTGTCCATGCAGAGGGTGCAGCGGAGACCTCTTCCCTTCCCTACCGGCCCTTGCCAGCAAATCTCCATCCCTCCCCCTACCAGGGTCACTATGGGGACGCGAGGCAGGGATTGTGTTTAATTCTTGCCACTATTCAGAAGGAAGAGAAAAAAAAAAAAATCAAGGGGCCAAAGGGAATCAGAAAGCAGTTTTTATGTAGAGCTTTTATTGTAGCATAAAAGAAGTTTATATACAGGGGATATTTCCAGCAAAACACTCAACAAAACCCCTCAAATCCGGAGCCATCCCCTCCCGGTCCCTCACTCCGTAGATCTTCCAGGCAGCCCCTTAGTTGGGGTCCCCAAGCTCTCCTCCACCTCCCTTTCCCTGGACTCCGCCAGCCACCGAAACTCGCTCCCCAGGATCTCGAGCCTCTTTTCTCGCCCTGGGGCGCTGCACACCTCGCCAATGTCTCAAGTTGTCCAGATGCAACCCTCCCCCTCCCCAACTCCCTTTCCTCCCTCCCCTTAAAGGTAGTTTCTCCTCAGAAACCCAGAGCACTTTTCCCCTCTTGGTTTAGGCGCAGCTGAGAGTCCCCAGCAATTCGGAATCAGCTCGTGGTCAAGACCAGTTAGAGGCGGCTCGTCATCAGCAGTGGGGCTTCAGCGCACCAAAAACAAAGGGGAAAACTACCCTGCCCACCCTCCCCCCCTCTTGGGCCCCTTCCTCAACTCAGGGACAAGAAATAGTCACAAAAGCAGCAAGGCATCCCTCTCGCGTGTGACAGGTGTGGGTGCCAGGCAACTAGCGTGCCGCTTTGCGCGCCACTGGAGCCCAGCTGCGCTCAGGGCGCGCGGGCGCCGCCAAGTTCTTTGCATTTGGAGAGGCGTAGGGCCACCACGTCTGACTGAAGGCGCTCTTGTCTCTTCCCTCTTGGGAGAGGTCACGAGAGAACACAGCAAAGGGTTCTGGGGGGCCAGCCCTGGGGCATACTGGCATTGCACTCCATTTAGAGTGAACCAGGCAGGTACAGTGGAGAGAGAGTTTTAGATGATGCAAAGTCCCCAGGTAAAGTCTGTCAGTGGCTGGGCTGAGGGCTCAGACTCAGCCTGAGGTGCCTGGCTCAGCACAGACATGTCACTGGGGCCTCTCCAAGCCTGACTTCGTTTGGGGCGCTTGCACGTGGCCCTGAAGGCACGAAGGAGGAGCCCCCCCCCCCCCGCACCAAGTCCAGTTGTCCATTGGCCTCAGTTGTCTACACCCTATGGGGATGAGTGCTGTGTAGCTGATCATTGTAGTGCTCCAGCCAGGTGCGCAGCTCTGCCACTTGGTAGCCATCGGGCCCACGGCCTCCTTGGAACACAATGGTGCCATTCTGGATGACGTAGAGGCGTTCGAAATAGGCACCATAGGCTGAGCTGCTGGAGTTGGCCATGGTGTCCAGGACCAGGGCGCAGCCAGGTGCGCCTTGCTGCAGCACGCGCGCGGCGCTGACGCGGTCCTCCAGGCTTCGATGTTGCGGGATGCTGTAAGGGGAGTCGGTGGTGACCCAGCCGTCGGAGGGGTGCGCTTCCTCGATGTAGATGATGAGGAAGTCCACATCGCGCTGGTACTTGTTGACCAGGCGCCGAAAGGCGCTCATGCGCGCCATGAATGGAGGTCAAGTGCAGCTCCCGAAATTGAGAACCAGCGGGCGATTCCCACGAGCATAGTCCAAGATATGCTGGCTCTGGAAGCCATCGGGCAGGACAACCTCTGAGTTGGGCGCAGGGCCGCCCTCATGCGCCTGCTTGAAGAAATCCAACTTCTGCCCGTGCCACACCGCCCTGAGCGACGCTAGGGTGCACAGGCGGTTGTCGTCGGACACACAGATGGGGGGGTCGTCGGGGAGCACCTCTTCGCCTTCGCTGTTGAGCTCCACCTCGGGCTCAGGTTGGCCACGGCGACGGCGGCCCAGGAAGTGCTTGCGGATGCACAGGAAATCGAGAAGCCAGAGCATGAAGGCGGTGCCGAGGAAGCGCGGGAAGAGCACGAGGCACGAGGCCGTCTGGGCGCACAGCCGCAGTGAGTGAAGCAGCAGGGAGCGGAGCATGGTGGCCACGGCCCCTTGGGCCCCCTGGGCCCCACCGTCGGCTCCGGCCAACGACCGCGGGGTGGCCGGGCGCGGCATCTGGGCTTCAGCCGTGCGGGAGCTCGATTTATAGCGGAGGCTTCATTGGCGGGAGACTCCACCTCCGGCCGGGCCCGCCCCCTGCAACTTGAGCCTCGAGGGCGCACCCGGCGGCGCGGC